ATCTCCTGCAGAGTTCAACTCAGCTAGTTTCTGCAGTAACTGCCAAGAATACATATATACAAGAAAAAGTACAGAAGCAGAATCGGTAGCACCATTTCATGACAAAAGGATTTTTTTTCCTTGTTGCTAAGCTATGTTTCTTGTTACAGCTCCTCTGATAATGCTGTTTTGGGAGACTCGTTGATTTGTCAAAGTAATGATCCTAACAGTATGGCACAGAGCAAATTCTGACTGTGCTTGAACAAGCTGGAAGGCCTCTAGGTGCAAGCAAGCTATGTGCAATCAGGCTGGGTTCTTTCTGCATGTGAAAAGTACCAGCCAACCTGTTCTTGGTATCGACAGAAATTTCGACAGAAATTTCAGTGTGAGGAGGTAGTCAGCTTATCAACTAGAGGGGCTAGATGGAAGAATTTTTTTTCAGGAATTCACATCACACTTAAACTCTGTTTTGGATATACTTCAAGATAAATCCTAGTAACATAGAGCAGAGGATACAGGGTTAAACCTTTCCAATTGCAAATAGATTCATCTATTGCAAGCACTCTGTCATCTGTGTGGAATATGAGTCAAAATCTTGGTGTATGCTTCTTCTAATAGTCACTGGCCACAGTTTGTCTTTTTCTCCTTTCTCTGCCTTAGTGGTTAATTCTCTCCTTCATCTGAATGTGCATGTCTTCAAATTGCAAATCTTGTGTGTATGTTGGTATTTCACTGAAAGTTTTTTTTTTTCTAATTGTGTGTTACAAAGCAACATAGATGGAAAGTATATTTAAAAACTGTTTTGTTGATTGCCCTTAATTAGTGAAAATATCTGGCCAATTTATCTCTTCAGCATTTTTTTTTTTTTTTTTTTTGGCTCTGGTTGATTTGTGAATTTTAAGGTGTTCTGAGAAAAGCAGGAAAAAGGAAAATATTTATGTATTGGCTCTGGATGCAGGAAGGGGTATGAAGATAAGTAATGTCTCCCATAAACATCTCCAGGAATTAACTAATTACAGATAATATCATCTGTCATTAGTTTTCAAGTATGTAGTGAAATAATGGTTTCTTAAGAGAATTTGGAACAATGTACTGTAAAAGATGAGTAACAAGAAACAAGTCCCAACTCTGTCCGTTTCAGCAGAGCATTATTTTTGTTTAGTCCTTCTTCCATGAAGTCGTCCTTTCTACTTTAAAGGGATGTGGTTTATGACTATTTCTGAAAACTTGAGATTTCAGTTATTGAAGGGAAAGGAATTGCAGTATGTGTGGAGCAGCAGGTATGTCCCCATGCTTCCTTACTTAATTGGAACCTTGTATTTCGTTGAATTTGGCAAACACTTGCCTGATCGAAGTTCAATGACTTAAAGGAGGCAGGTCAGTGTGAGAGAGACTGCTTCTGCTCTTGGATATGCATAGTGGACCAGAGTCTGGTGTGAGACCTGTTAAGTCCCATGTGGCTCTTCATCCTGCTCTTTGGACCCACATAAAACATACTTCCATTGGAGTGTTACTCAACAATAGACAGGTTTGTCTGGCTGACTAGCAAGAGAGGAAGTTGCATGATGTACTTGTCTCATGTGTCAGATCACTGTAAAGATAGATAGCAGGCTTCTGTTGCCTCTGCTTCTAATGTACCACCAGCTCAGAAAAAGGAAATTATACTCCAGTGTAGTGTGGATGGTGGATTCAAAAATTTGAAATCTCTCTCTCGAGAGACCAAAAGTCATGATTCTTGTTGAGGGTTAGGCTTTCAAAAGTTTGTTCAGTGGCAAATCTATAGGTAAAGATGTCCTGTATTGTACTTGACTGAATGGGATGGGTGAGAGCAGGCTGTTAGCCCAGTTTTTGAGGTGGTTCTTTTGGAATACCAACTGAACAGAGTGAATCCAGCTGCAGGAGTATGTTAGGAATCTTGCAAACAAAAGCCTATCTAAAAGGCTTCTCGCAGACCTAAAGAGAACCAAGTAAGTAAGAGCTTATAAAATGCTAGGCATGATTCTAAATAAATCTCAGCAATACTAGGATTTTTGCATTACATTAATCAGTTCTTGCTACCAGCTCTCAATTTTTAGCTCTTAGGATAAGGTTAGAATTTCCTGAATTCCTTCTCATTATCTCTTATCTGCAGGAAAAAAAAGACCCCAAGAAAACTACCATTCCATCAGGCTTCTAAAGCCTGCTGCAATGTGCTTTTTTCTTGCACAGATAGAAATGTTAGATGAAGAAGCCTTCCGTTTGCTGTATTCAGCAGCTGGCTTGATAATATTACTCACTCTCTTGATAGCTTTGTCTCCTTCCAAACCAGATCATCTCCTTGCAATAATGCCGCAATCTATCAACATTTTATGAACTTTAATATTCTCTGTGAATGGTAATGGCGAAACAAAGAGAGAAAGGAAAAAAGAATGAGTAAATGGTTAAACAATTTCACAAATATTGGTCAGTTACTGTTTACGTATTATAAGGTGGAAGAAGGAAACATTTCAGATTTAAAAATGAAAAGCTTTATTGTTGATTAAATTTTAATTCACAAGTTCCTTCTGAGCCAGGACCATGGCTAGGTGTTTGCTGCAGCATCTTTAGCCCTTCCAAGCTGCCCTGGCAGATAACTGTTGGAGGTCCTCCATGTCTCTTAATCCTTATTTGTTTATCCCACTTGCGTGTAACTGGAAATTAGAGTTCAATTCCAATGTGGTTAATAAAGAAATTATCAATGAGGAGTCATGTCTTCCATGCAAGTCTAAATGATGATAATTACTTTGCTTGTGATCCATCTTTCAAAGATTCTATTGATAAATCTTTTAAATGAATGATCAAATTGCTGGGGAAAGTGACTGTACTGAATTATTGCTGAATTAATGATGATGATATTAAGCACTGGTCTGTGCCCAGAGATCTAGTGGTCCAGGCGGAAGATTTGGCTGCAGTGTACCAAAGCTTTCTTCCACCCTTCACGTCTATTTTTCTTCCTAAGGGAAATAAGGAGTGGGAATAAGTGTGGAGGGAGCCAGGAAAGTTTGTGAAAACCTGTCTCGACAGAGAGTCAGAATACAGTCAGAGCCTGCAGCTAGAGCAATGAGCTGAGAAGGGCTCCTAGATTCCACAGGTTAGGTATAAGAAATGTTCTATGTGAGAAAATATGTAGGTTGCTCTGAAAGTAATGCCTTCTAATTATTTTCATGGAAACCACAGCAGATACAAAGTGAGAAATAAATTGCGTTAGAGTAAATTCTCTGCTGCAAAACACTGTTCTTCAACGTAGCTACCACCAATAGCTGACTTTGTGAATGTGCTGATCAAGAAGAATTTCATTTCATGGTGTGGCAGTTGTGTATGGCTGGCTAGAATATTGCTCGTCTTTTGGATTGCTGTTGCCACTGCTGTAACTGGCCACATCCTGCCTCACTGTTCTCCCATCCAATGTTTGGTTTCCATATTCATTTAGCAAGCATCAATGAAAGTCAGTGGGCATCAGTTTTTCTGCATGGAGGAATTCAGTGACACGCCTTTGTTTTATATGCACTTCCATGTCAGACATTCTCTTGGGTTGCCTCACTGCTGCCATCTGTTAAATGGCAACAAAATGTAACAAAATGTTGGTGTTATGGCTGAAGAGCTTGGACCTTCCCATCAACATCTGCCTCTGATGTAATGGGCCAACACAAGTTAATAAAATAGGAGGCATGATGATGTTGCTGCTAGAAGCGTGTACAGGGAATATGACAACAGTGTTCTTAAGCCAATTTAAAAGTTTATTTCAGCAGAAATACTAGGAATCTTAGTTTTAGTTTGTCTGAAGCACTGTTAAATTACCTCAGTAATTTGATATCTAGGCAAAATGTACGGGGTTCCTTCCTCAGGTCCTCTCACTCTAGCACAGAAAATAAATAATGAATTGCTTATGGAAATCAGGATTTGACAGAAAATGGGAGTTATTTAATATAAGAAAGTCTGACAGTGAGCTATACTAATTCTTGGAACTAGCCAAGGAAAAGTAGCAAAGCTAGAAAACTTTTCTCTTTATTTTTTAGGTACTCCAAATTTAAGAGATTATAACATAAGCTGAATGCATTTCCAAGCTAGTTATTGACACAACATTCATATAGCCACTGCAACACTGAATGTTTCATTTCATTAAACATGAGCATTTCCCAAATATAGGGAAGCATGGAGCAGTATGAGATTCTTTGTTGATCGCTTATATTCTGTTTCACCTTGTGTTCCACCGTGATAACAATAATGAATGAGCCTTTAGCCACAGATCTGCCTTTCCTGTTAGGTATATTAAACTTTTCTGTGGTAACCAAGTATGGAATTTAGAGGTAAATCTATAGTGATTCCAAAGCTTTACTTGGAAAATGTGTTTAGTGTTGAATTCTGTTCCAGCGTGTTTTGCTCATTTGTAGGCTTGTGTGACTTTTCAGTGAGAATAATCAGACATTTCAAAATAAATTACTGCGCTTGGAAGCTATAAAGAATTAACTTCTGCCCTTCTGCCTTGTTTCTCTCCCTCTCTTTGTTTCACATTATTCTTCTTCCTTATGCTTGACCACAGTTAATTCCCGAGTGTCTCATGTTTATTCACCAGGCTGCTGATGGTAATCACAATGAAATCTCAGTAGCTTTCAGCTAAGGCAAGTGTTATTTTTTCTGGAGGCATATAATATCTTAGGCCTTGATCTTATGAGCATTATACTTGATGCCAGAAGGAGTCAGCCTGGTGAAGCCAAGCACATACAGAAATGTTGGCAGGATTTGCTCTTTCTTAAACATAACACTGTAATAATTTAATGAAGTATGTCACACATGTAATGAGTATTTATTGGGCCCACACTGTGCAGTTGGTGCATTAGAACTGTTACATGTAAAATCTATCTGTGCTAATATATCATATAAGTGTGGCTGTAAGCAACAGGTAAAGGGTTTTGGAAGCACCCAGCCTGTGTTGTATTGTCAAGTGAGTTAGAATACCCTGCTTGTGTGTTCATGTGTAAATTAGTTTGAGCACTGCATCTTGCCTCAGTTACAGAAAAATTCTTCCAGAACCGTGAAAATAAAGTGCTCCTGGCTGCCACCTTGTGTAATAATGTCTGAAATACAGGATTAGGTGTTTAGAGGAAAACCAGTAGCAGTGGTTATCTGTTTTTATAAGTAAGTGCTAATAACAATGTTAATACAGTGAAAGGGCAGATACTCTTGGAAAAACACTCAACAGAATGCTAGGGAACTTAGGAAGAGAAGGGTGTGGAACACAATGTAACTATAATGTTTAAGAAAACCAAGCTGAAATATTTCCAGTATTTCTGTATAATGAAGCACTAAATTCAATACAGGTACCTATAGTGCTAATGGATCCTGGTCTTAAATGAGGGGGACTGAAAGTCTGTCATTGCTTTCAAAATGAATGAGAACATCCTATCCCTTTTCTCTGAACTCACTGGTGACCTTAGTTTGTTGTTCTCTAAACGCTGTGAATATACCTGTGTCTAGGCTATTACACTTCAGCCTATTGTGCATAGGCTTAAAAAAAAAAAAAAAAAAAAAAAATTCTCCCTGTTTTTTTTTTCTGTGTACTGCAGGCTTAATTTCGTAGTTTTTTACTTTGAAGTTACACAGTGAGATCCTGCTAATCACTTTGTGTGTTAATTCTGCATGTTAGCTGAGATGCATTTTCCTGATCCTCAGGAACATTTCTTTGTTCAACTGCTACAGTCTGAGTGGACTCTCCCCCTTTCATGTAGCTGTGCTCCCGGTAATGGGTCCTTAAAGCCACCATCAGCTTTTAAATGGAATTCAGCATCCAGAGTGAGATGTGAGATGATGAGCTACATGTAATGAGTGAAAAAGCAGGCTCAGTACTCCAAGGCTCGGGTCCATGAAGATTATTTAATTGTCCAGACTTAAACCTCTGATTTCCCTACAGATTTCACTGGTGAGTTAGCCATCTAATTAAGAATCTTTCAGGCAACTTCTGCTCATTTTACTTGAGTAATGTAGTAAAGTACTTAAATGTAGTAAAGGCAGTGGTGCTGCTTGACTAAAAAAGATGAAGTCTTTGGGTGCAGGATGATAGCATTCAATTATACCAAGTTGTCAGTTGGCTGAACTAACCTTATTCAGTATTTAAAACCCTACCAATACTTAAAAAATTGCAATTAAATGAATGTACAATTAAAACCAAGGCATGCAAACCTAACATTAGAAAGCTAATTAGTCTGTATTTCCCACTTTTAAAGGGGAAAAACTTGCCACCAGCTTGAAAAAAGTGAAAACATTTGTCTCAATTTATAAACTATTCAAATATAGTACTGAAAAATAGTGTACTTAAGTTTACATTTAAAGATTTGATACTTTATAATGGTAATAGGAAATTATATAGGCATTCCTAATGTAATGTTATGAGGATACTTGTATATTAATGTACTGAGGTGTGCAAGACAATCTTTTAGGGTAGACTTGCCACATTCCAACTTGAAATGCTTAACTCTAAAGTTCCACATTTCTACTGACTAATGAGGCAATCAGCAATTCCAAGATGTTTTTTTCCATCATATGAAAGATGGAATTAACCAAAATTTGAAAATTCACTTCCTTCTATTGTTTGTGGAGGGAAGCCTAGCCAGCTTGGTTGCTCTCCTGGGTTCTTAACTCTTCAGTAACTAATGGCTGAAGGAAGAACTCTTTTCTGTAACACTGTCATTATTTTCCCAGACACAAAATTCACACTGTGAGATTGAAACCACAGGTTATCAAAATCTGTAAGAAATACCCACCGTCACTTCAACATGAGAGTTTAGGAAGTTCTAAAGAAGACTTGTGGAGTACATATAGGTTTTTTTCTTCTTGTTTTGTTAAATGAAGGACTTGAAAATATGTTTGTCCCTCTGACTGTGAAAGGTAGAATTTCTGCCTGGATCTGGAATCCTCAGTCTGACTTTTGAGAAATGACAAGAAAGCAAGGAAAAGCATTCTACTTGCTTAGAAATGTTTTTGTGCCTTTAAGATGAACAAAACCTTGCAGAATCGATCCTGCTAACAACCACCACCTTAATGAGCGTTACCGCTGAACTGATCTATTCGTTACTGCTGATTGAAATCATGTACTTATGGTTTGTGTGCTGCCAGACATTCTACTCCCCCAGAGTCGCCCTGTGCAATCATCCTACACTGAAAGTTTACACTTCCTCGGTCTGCTCTAGTTTATGTAAAATGTAGATTATTAAGTTATACACAGGGGAACAGGTGGGTGGAGCAGCTGGCATGAGAAGTGAGCAGCCTGACAACAGAAAAAATATCAGGGTAGATTGCAGTACAAAATTTTTCCTAGGAAATTGCAAATTTCACAATCTGTTCATGAGAACTGATGATACAGCTCATGTGCCAGGTAACAAGTCTGGGAGACTCTAGACTTTACTGGAAGCAGACTATTCAAGACCTTCATAGATCTTGTTCGTTTTGGCTTCAGACTGCTACAGTATATCATGCAATCCTACTCGTTCCAGAGAGCATTTCTTTGTGAAATTCATAAGTATATTGAAAATGTCACAGTAGTTTTTCAGTCTTGACTGACTGACTAATTTACTGTATTTCTGATTACAGATATTAAGTTTTAAAGATGTTTTCATGAAATTTTAAGCAATGTAGGATTTTGGGGTGTTTGTCTTAGGGTTCCATTCAGTGACATGAATTGATAAAATTGCACTGATTCTAATATACAAGGCAAAGGAAAACACTCGACTAAAAATGCTCTCGTTAATTTAGGTGCAGTGTAGATTGTGACCTGGTAGAAAGAAATGTTCTGGATTAAAAGAACATCAGTTTTAGTATAACACATGCAGGCATAGGCAAGGAAAATATAGTAACAGGACAATCTGATAAGCCGAAGTGGCAAGATTTCTACAGTAAGGAATCGGTAGGTGGCTGTGGAGGAAGTAAGTGAGAAGATAGTTGTGGAAGGAAATATAAACCTTGAGATAATATAAAATATCATAGCAGCTTATTTTGCATCAATTACAAGGGAATGCAAACCATATCAGCCTTGTGGTTATGCCACTGTTGCAAGAGAGCAAAGCAAGGTACTACTTCTGTAAGCTGGATGTTTACATTCTTTGTCTGTCCCATTTTGACTTGAGAAAATTTCCTCATGAAAATTTCATTAGAACACACATTTCTTCACGAAGCTACTGTTCTAGCATTTCTGCATTCTAGCAAATCAGCATTTTTCAAAAGAAAAGTGTTTAATCAAGTTGTTTCCAGACAAGTCTAATTATAGTATTCTCTTTAAAGAGGGTTTCAGACAGCACTTCAAAAATAAATGCAATGAAACATTCATTATTACTAAGATCTTTTGTATTACTGAAATTACAAGAAGCAATTACAAATATCATAAATGATATCTTGATAAGCATTTCCTATACCATGGAATAGCTGTTCTGTATGTTTCTAATGTTTCACTTAAATTTGAAATTCCTTCTAGTATATGAATTACTGTTAAACACAATACAAAGTTCACTCAGCTTTCATTTCCCCACAAATTCAATTGAGAAATGTATGCATTTGGAGCCTTTCTTCAGAGGAGGAAAAGGAAAAGAGGAGAAGACTGGGAGGGGAGGGTGTAGGAGAGAGGGGGAAGAAAATATTTGAGAAAAGCATGGAGACCAAAAGAGGAGAAGAAAGCTGTTTTTATGTGGAGGACAGAATCAGTAGTAGCTTTCAACATGGACTAAGTATCCTGTTACTGGGTACAGCAGACTTCTTGCTTTTGATGGAAGACCAAGTGAAAGAAGGGTAACTCAAGTGTTTGTACAGTCACAGGGAACAGTGTGATGTTGATGGTGGGAACATGTACATGCTTTTTTTTTTTTTTTCTTTTTGCTGTTGTGGAACAATCGTGAATATTGGCTTGAAACTAGAATGTGGTGGTTCTTTCTGCTTTTACTGACCTATAGCTTCTCATAGCCTTTTGTAAAATAACTTGCAAATTCTTGATATTATCTAACACCCTGCAGTAAATTTTATAAAAGCAATGGTAAAAAGGAAAACACAATAATAGAGAATATAGGCGAAAAAGACCTATGGAAAACATGGAACCTTATCTGCATGTTGTCTTCAGGTACACTTAATCTTGTGGCATGGGGATAGTGCAAGCTTAGAACCATTATGTTGGCAAAAGCTGGGGAGTTTATGTGAAGGCCAACACATTTCTTACTCACTGTCTAGAGTCTGGAAAAGCAAATGACAGCTGTTGGTGTTCTTAATATCAGTATCAAATCCAAGGAAACCATCTGAAACCTGTTGCTGAGGAAAAGTCATTATTCATTTTAAAAGATCAAAGGGAATGTGAGGAGAGTTCAAGAAGGAGTTTGGCTTTTGAATACTCACATTTTTCCCAAAAAGCTTTGGGAGTTTTACAGCCTTGCATAAGAATGTATGTTGAGCATATTTAAAGGACTTGAAAATTTAACTTAATCAAGGTATGGAGTCCAAGAAAAATGGCATTCCTTTAATTGAGATAGGCAAAGCAGAAGGAAACAAAACAAAACTATACAATGTCTGATATACGCATTCACATCTTTGTTTTGCTGAAATACATTAACTGTAAAGCATGTTTGGGAAGTTTCTGCAGTACCCATTAAGAGTTAATATAAATCTTGAGATTCCAATATTCTGGATAGGAATGAACGTTGGTTTGGCTATACTATGGCAAAATAAATCTATAATGTGGTCCTTTTCTACTCACACTTAAAAGAGGAGGATTATTCTAGCAAAGCCTGAGTACACGTTTGTTTTAAATCATGTTGCCTGAATTGCTAACATTATCTGGGGTTTCGAAACTGTGGCCAGGGCTCTGAGAAGTCTCGGCATCTGTACCTGTGCAGCCAGCTGGAAGTTGGGCACTGAAGTTGATGTTGTGGTAATGACAATTAGAGAGTCATTTTGGGCTGTAGAATAGCTATCTGTGCTTGAAGTGACCAGTAATCAGCACTTCACAGCATCTTCATTCGTAGAACAAAATTGAATCATAGCTTCAATTGGCTTAAGTTGGAAGGGGTGTCAGTAATCTTTTCCAACCACTGTGATATGGACGGGATTTATGGAACTGGTTTATGAATGATTAACGTGCAGGTACTCAGAAGAGAAGAGCAAGGGCGGTTGGACTCGTTGATCTCTGGAGGTCCCTCCAACTGCTACAATTCTGTGATTATTACACAAATGTCAGGTGGCCTTAAATGATATTGATACATTATAGTTACCTGTTTTGAGGCAGCCATAGGCTGTTACCAAGTGGTGTTTTTCATCTCCTTTAAAATGCGATAACTGGAAAAAATGTCATCTAGATTTTTATGAATTTTAGCCTACTCTCAATGGAACTGTATAGAAATAGCTGAACCAAGTTTTTGTTCTTAGCTTTTGAAGGGGTGGGACTGACTCAGTTCTGAGGAACTTTTTATAGAGTTGCTCTCATGCATCCAGAAGCAAATTGGCTTTTCTCTCCTATAGTGTCCATCTCCTATGTACAACTTTAGCCCATAGTCCTAGGTCTTCACACCCTCTTGAATGATGGTATTAATTATTGCTGAGACTGACTCCATGAAGATTTGACTCCGTTAGGAGATATATTTTGGGACAATGCACAGAACAGATGTTTTTCAGAGAAACAAGGTGATCAAGGCAGATTTTGTTACTTAACTGAATACAGAATTTCTAAACTCTTAAGTCAGAATGTAAAAGCAAAGCACATTCCCCGCCACTAAAAACTTCACAGCTCCTTCTCATCACACAGTGTTCATTTATGTGTTTCCTATGTCAGTGTGAATTAAATCATTTATTACTAGCCTCTAGGAAAATCAAACTTACCTTCATTTTCAGGATGAGTCTGTTTCTCTGTAGAAACCCTTCTGTTAACTGAGCTTAACGCGTATTGCCGATCCATTTTCCCAGTTATCTGTTCCCATATTGTATAAATATACATTTCTTGAGTCATGCCCTTTGCTATTGTTGGTGAGCACAACTTACTATTACTTTAGCATCCCTTTTTTCCACTGTTGCTTGTTTTAGTCTTGCATATCATACTCTACTGTGTTTTCCAGGAGATTGGTTTTTTTAACTGATGAAACACTGTCAAAGCACAGTTATATTATCTCTTCTTTATACATAGGATCATCAACAGGAGAGCTGTCAATAGTGACAAGAAAAAAAAAAAAAGTCTTTGGTCACTACCGAAATAGAAATCGATCTTATCTTATTATGACATTTTTAAGTGCTTAAAGGAAATGGTAGTGAGTTCTGTCTGTTTTGTGTCTTCAGATAACAAAATTAAAATTATATCTTGCTCTTTGGCTTGATTTTCAGAGTAAAGAAAGGACCTTTCTTGCTCTTTGACTTGATTTTCAGAGTATGTGACTGTGATTAAAGCCCACAGATAAAGATTCACGTCATCTTTGATCTTTTTTTGGATATGATATTATGAGTGAATTTATTGCCTTGTGCATCTTTTAGATACATATTTTGCTTTTTTGGGTTTTCAGTGTTGGAAACAGACATAGTATGGATGAAAATTGGCAGAAGAGCATGAAAATCTTCAGAATTTTGAGTCAGGTGGCAGAACATTCAGGAAGCTTCTGGCACACTACAGATGGTTGATATAAACTGTTGTGGCAGAGCAGCTCTGCCAGGAACCCCATGGAGTATTCCTAAAGTAAACTTTTAAAAACACACAAAATATTAAAGCAGGAAGAAATTAATATTACTTGAAAGTACATTTAATATATTGCCATCTTGAAATGGAGTTCCATATTCTTTTTTTGTTCTAGAGCAGTATCCCACGTTCCAAATTCTACTCTTTCATCTTTACGCTCTTCATAAAATTCATTCATAAAATATATGTATAAATTTTTTGTATACATGAACTATTTATATATTTATATGAGAATACATACACAAACACTATGAAAGATAAAGTAAGTTAAATCATGAAATAAGTGAGGATTGCATTACACAAAATCTTGGCGTCTGGATTGAGAGTAAGTGAAGACATATTTATACCCAATATAAACACTAAAACACTTAAAAAAGAAAAAAAAAAAAAAAAAAAAAAAAAAAAAAAGAAAATGCTTCTGTGAGAAGAATAATTTTCAGCTGAAAAAATTCCGTGTACTCGGAACAAATTAGATCAATAGAAACTTTGGGATTTTTTTTATAAAGACATATTACCCATGTTTCAGCATTTTTTTGCAACTCTGATTTGTGGCACTTGGCAAATCTTAACTAACAACTGATATTTCCAGAAGAAATCTCTATCTGTAAAATTCATGTTAGATTCTTAATCTCTCTGATTTTTTTTTTTTTTTAATTCCCTTATTAGCTGAAGAAATCAGCATTTGGAAATGTCAGTCAAAACATATTTTTTAAGTGATTATGGGATCCCAAGTTGTGATTCATCTCTTGATAATGATTCCTTTGTACACTACTAAAAAAAAAAAAAAAGTTAATACTGCTTAGGCAGCTTAGATACTGGCTAAAACTTCCCGTCTCCAAGCAAGTTTTAATATTAAGTTCAAAATAATTCAGTTGTATAAGTAGGATAAGTCTCACCTTTTTTAGTAGTAAGATAAGTTCTCTGAGATGGGAAGTATCCTCTCCGTAAGTCCAGAATTTTGAGCATATCTGTATTCTGCAGCATTTTGAGGTGGACTTCCACTTCAGCTTTAGCTAAATTATTTCATAAAGGAGGGCAAGCTTGAGGGTACCTGGGCTTATTTGGCTGTTTCTTAAAGCGATACTTCTGTCTAATTTTCAGTGAGTTATTTTACCCTTTACATCTTCTGGTGAAAGTAGTAGCTATTGTGCTATCTTTCAGGCCAAACCCCACGAATGTCAGTAGAAAAATCCCGTGGCTAGGCTTCTTGGGGCAGTGCATATGGATCTGTATTGGGAGTTAAATTAGATGTTGAACACAACAGCTTTTGAGAAAGTCTATGGAATTACTATACATGTATTTTTTTTCCTTCAGTAGAAAAGAAGCAAGTTAGACACTTTCTAGGCTAAGTCAGAGCATAACTCATAACTGACACAAATGATGGATGCAAAGAAAACTGATTTTAAACTTGGAAAGACTCATAAATGCACTAGTGAAGAGGTTAAGGTTGAGGAAAATCTTGACTGGCTACTCACTACATGCAATTAGCAACAGCTGCATACCTTTTCCGTGGGATATGAATGCTATGTCATGCCTAGCTTTACCACTGTTATCTTGGAGATTGGAGCCAAGCAGGAAAAGAAAAAACGCAGTTGAACAGCTTTGGTAGCCTACTCTTACTATATAATTACAAGACATCATCCAATGGATGACTGTTATGTGCCATTTATGGTGAATCTGTGTGAAAACCACATTTTTATGGACCTACTTGAAGACTGTCAGACATTTGTGTGTTATTTTGTTGTTGTACCTTTCCACTTCCATAGCAACAATTTAGCTATTCTCAGCTCGTGCTAATTGTGAGAAAACCAAATTCCATCTGTTTTTGCATAATTAAGTCTGGATAAAACTTCACTTGTTAAACATCAGTTATCTTCATTCCAAGGCTGGTTAAGCAAACTAATGTTTGCTGGTGTTGCATGGAGTCCAACCACTGAGAAAAATGCATGGTCACTCAAAGTCACAGCTAATTAATACTGGAAAACTGGAATAAGTATAAAAAAGTTATACGCCTTGGTTGTGTATGCTGGGGGAATAGAAGGAGTTGTTCATTTCACTTGTTCTTGTTCAAGTTATTTATGTAGAATAAAGTTTTTAAAGATATGACCATTTAATTTGCAAGCAATGGCAAGTCAAGAGCGTCAACCTTTTCAGTTTTCATAAAACAAAGTTGTACCCATCTTGCTCCAGAGTAACTGGGATGAGTTTTCGAAACAGAATAACTATTAGAAGAAAGAGCAAAGGAGGAGGAAAAAAAATCCTTATATCATCTGCTTGTGAAGCAGGGAGAGATCAGTTCTCACAAAAAGAAAATATGGGAGTTGTCAATACAAAATGAAGAATATCAAATGAAATTATTAGCTTTTGATTACTCTGCAATTAATGCTTGTTTTATTTTTTGATGTAGGATTGTTTGCTTTAGCAATTAATGTGATTTTATATGATGAAATCAATAAGTTAGAGGAACTGCTCTTTGCTTTCACTCAGGTCATAGATGTTTCTGAGAGTTCATTTGAGACAAGTGCTCCAGGATCAGGTTCTAACCTCTGTGCTGCAGTTAGAGTGCTCATTGGGAAATTTAGTTAAGTTTCAATTTGAATAACGTTTTAGAGGTACAGCAGAGTATTTGCAGCACCATCATGGGAGATTATAAGTTCTCTTCCTCTCTCCTCTTTAGAAACTTACCACTGAATTCAGTAGCAGCTCTGAAAACAGATCTATCTCCTAGAGAAATATTGTGCAGAGCACTAATTTCAGAATGACCTGTAAAACACAGACTTCCAGTCCCCTTATTTCACAGGCAACTGAAAATTAAGATGGCTTCACTCACCTGTGTTTTGTTGACTATGTTCCGTACCATCTTCTCTACCAATGGCAAAAACGAAAAATTAGGGTTTAGCAACCACTTTTCATGGCTACTTCAGGAGGCCCATCAGAATTTCTGTAGCTGCTCTCCATTCAGGCTCATAAAACACCTCTCCCTTCACAGCTTCTCAAACGCCTCCACCTCAGCATTTCAAGTAACTCAAGCTGCTTCCTTTCTTGCTTGCTCTCCTGCTTGCATGCCAAAACCAGAAAGCCTTTATTAAGAGCTTTCCTGTCAATCATCCAGAAGGCCTCTTTGGAAATCTGATTAGTATTTGCAGCTTATGTTCAGAAACAGGCTGAATATATCCGGTGCAATTCATACGAAGGGGTATGAGGGTGGGGAGCAATTGAAAAGAGGATGAAGTCTTGTTTCTGTGCTGCAAGATATGTTATCATCTCTGTGAGCAGTGAGATATTTTCAGATTGTAAAGAGTTGTGCACAAGGGAATTTAAGATATGCTATGTCATTTGGGATTGTTAAGGCTTGCCTTTACTGCAGTACATGAGAAAGTGGGTAAATTAGGCTGTGCTGGAGCTTGAGACTGCTGTGTTGATACTGCTGCTGTAGCATTATTAGCTTATGGTGGGCTCAGATATATCTACTGACTGTACAATTGTATCAGCACAGTCACTCCCTTCAATTTTCTAAGCCCATACAAACTGGATAAAGTGTTTAAAAGGAAAGCAAAAGTATTCTGTGATAGGTGCTCTGGAGCCTATGCTTCATGATTTCACAGAAAGTTGAATTCCGTTCAGAAGAATGGAGAATGGTGAGTGCTGAATAATGCCTACACAGGCAGTACTGGAGGCTTCAGAGATGGTGACTGCCATGAACTCGCTATTTGTCTGGGCAGACTGCAGCCTGTCCAGCCTTATTTGCTAGACTGCATTGGAGCAGAAGTAGATGACAATGCACTTGGTTGAAAAAACAGAGCAGGAGGAAGAAGTAATGTATTTATGATGTTGAAAGTGATCAGGTTGCATGCTGAAAGGAGAGATGTTACTTGGGTATACTGCTTTATTCCTCTAATTCTTGTTAACCCAATAACATTATTAAAATTATACTTGGATGCTTTGTCTAGCCTGCTGCTGTAAATTTTGCTTAGCAACTTTCTGCATCCTGATTTCTGCTACCTGGTTAAGTTGCAAAGAAACTCTCAGAGCAGTGTGCAGCCTTGCCATCGGCTGCCAGCTCCAGATTTGCTGAGCGAATGCCTTGGAGCCACAGTGATGGTGGGACCCTGTGCCTTCTCACAATCAAGCCTGGCAGAAACTGGTGGTTGCTTGGTAACGAGGAATGTTGCTGTTCCTTTTTCCAGAGGTTTAGCAAACAGCTGAGGCAACAAATTTGGAGAGCAGTGTAAAGGTTTGAAAAGAACAAATAGTTGTTGAAGAAAAAAGCAAAGACACAACAGTGTTACTTGGATACAGCAGAAGACAACACAACAGAAGGAAGGGCTGTGTGGAGAAGTAAAGGCAAAATGTTCAAGGTCTGTTTTATAATGTACCTAGTGGCAATGCAGTTCCTTTCTGCTTGCTGAACCAGAAGTATTTTCAGTAAGTTGTTTGTTACAAATATATTCTTCCTCATTTTTCAGTTATTTCCTTTTTCTCAGGGTTTTGTGTTATTCTTCCACTATCTTACTCTCTATTTGCTCTTCAGAAGTAGTTTCTATTGTTACATCTTGCACAAAATGAGAGCTGTACTACTTTCAGTAAATAGCTATTGTCCTAAGGCAGTAGTGGCACTGGTTTCTACTGCTGACTCAATGTGCTCAGTGCCTTGTTTCCCGCTGTTCCAGGTAGAAGATGTGATGTCATCTACATATCTCAATTATTTTTTTTTTAGTTATCACAAGTGCTGCAGATACAGATGGAAAAACTCCCTTGAGAGTGTAAGGAAGAATTTACTAGTCTGTTCTTGATCAGACAATATTTTGTAGACTGTTTCCTGTGGAAGTGCTGATTTGAGTTCTGTTTTAGAGAAGGAGGAAGATGCTCAGCTGAAATTTCCTGTTTCTTGATCATCCATGTGGCAAATGTATGTAGATAAGTTATTCACAGAAACAAATGATTGTGTGAATGACTCTGTAGTGGACAGGCTTATTTGTGATGGCTGTATCACAAGTACATCAGGTAACTGCAGTAGTTTAAAAGCATACTAGTTATCCTAGAGAAGAAGATAGCCTGGCTCTCAATATGTCCTGTAGTTGCTAGTGACATCTATACCATATAGGTTGAAGTTAGATAAAATATTTTCATTTACATGTCCAGACTTCTCTTCCAGCTCAGCAACAGCTTGTTCAGTTTACTCTTTGACTTCATACAGCATTTGTAATGGAGATTTCTCAAAGTATTATTACTAGGAAGGAAATGCAGCCCTAGTCCTACACCTGAATGTGTTTGCCAGTACAGCAGTCTTCACAGAGCAGCTTCACTGCCTTGTGATTGCCTTTCAGCAGTGAGCAGTTATGCACACAGGTACTTCTATAGGTTTCATTTCTGTAAGATACTTCTCAGCGGCATGAGAGAAATCTCAAGTCTGCAGTCAAGATTTGACATCACCATTGATTGCTCTGATACAGTGTAAATTTTCAGTCTTTCCCTTTTTTTTTTTTTTTTTTGCCTCTTAAACCTCAGTTTCTTTTGCCCTGTTTTTGCTATCTCTGATTATGAACGAAGTTTCTTTTCCGTTCAGTTTTTTGAGTTTCTCATCTTTTTTATTACATACAAAATGCTGTTTCTGCACAGTCCTTTTCCTCTGCATATATGATTAGACGTGAAAAGATAAAAAAGGTGAATCAGTTATGTAAGTCTTGGAAAACCCTAGTTCCTTTTCTATAGAAGCAATACTTAAGTTCACTGCCTTGTTGTCAGATTTATTTGTCTCCCTCCTAGAGCTATGGCGGTCAAGTCTAATTGCAATTAAAAAAAAATAAAAGTATCTTTTGCTAGAAGCAAAAGAAATGTGAAGTGCTGGAAAATGGTTTTAGAGGATACAATATAATTAATGTACATTTATAATACTATCAAAGAAGCAAAGATATGTTTTTCTATGGGTTTATAATACCTTAGTATTGGAGTTCATTCCTTTAACTGAATTACTGTTACATTTTAATTACATTTACTGTAATAGGAACATAAATCTTCATATCACTGAAGAGATCAAGTGAAAAAATACTAATGTACTGTATTGAAAATCTTTTGTTAAGGAACATTGTGGAGAACTTTCTCTCGAGAATGAGAGATGCCACTCTTGGCTTTCCTTCGTTTGATGTATTTTAGACCTAATTCAGCAGTCATTAACAACTGTGAGTCAAGCTTTTATAATGTGATGACATTAAATGAACATACTGTACATCTCTTTTTTTTTTTTTTTAACAACTTGTCACACTACTGACCCCTTAAGATAATGCATTTGTTTTTTCTTCTTTGGATGTAGAACTATTTTTTCTATAATTATTATGGAAGTGATAGAATACCTTTATTTGGTAGCGTTCCAGCTAATTGCTCTGAATGTATTTAAAGGGAAAGGCTTTATTCAAGAAAAGAATCAGCCATTTGTAAATAGCGTTTAGGTGGATGGAACAAAGAATTAGGGCAGTAATTTAAATTCCCAGAGTTAAATTCTTGAATTGCCTGCATAACAGCAAATAGCACAGAACTACTGTGGAAACGTCTTGTTGGAACTAGTGTTAATCCTTTTAGAAATTAGGAGTATGACTCATCTTGGAAGTTTGTTACAGTATAAGCATTTTTAGCAGTTGACTCTGCACCTGCATTCTCCATCATAGAAATTTTGGTTATGCAGCATATATAGGTTTTCACTCACTGTGTCTTAAATGACCTAAAAATCTATAGGTGTTTTATTTTTCATTTCTCCGTATCATGAGCCAGCTGGCACGATTGACAGGACACTCATGTTGAGTTGTGTCTTCTCCAAAAGTTTTCCTGTAAAGGTGATCAATGAATATTGAACTGCACTAAACCAAGATGATTTCTGTGCCACAAACCCTTTTCAGCCTAGAGTATAGAAAACTTATCTGATATTTTCAACTCAGAGAACTTTGAGACTTTTTTAACTGGCATAAAACCAAGCTGTTTTGGCTCTGATGAATATTTAGCTACAAAAATAACATTTTTTTTTTTTTCCTGGAGATCTTGAAAAGCACTTAGGAGCCAACAAAGTACACTTTTTTTTGGGCTGTTGATATAATTAATCAGAATAGTACATGTCCAGCAAGTTACAGGCTATCACATCCTTTTGCATTATAGCTGCATACCAGGCCTAAAGGTGCGAACCGTATTATATGTGAAATGTCTTATACTCTCCCCCTTAGGAATATAGTGTCAACAACAAAGAGGTATTAAATTGAAAAAACTAAACTAAAAGTGATGGACCAAATCTTATCATGTAACCAGGTTGCAGTGATTGTAAAGAAGATATCCTGTATGAAATACAACATCCTTGCTTGTGATGCACAGGGCTGTCAGAAGTGACTAAATGAATATATCACAATAAGGGCTGGATTCTCACTAGTATGCTTTATGCATATTTGTGTTGGAAGATGGATGCAAGTAGCTCTCTTTCCAAAGTAATACTGAGCTGAGGTGATTTCAGGTGCTGTACAGTACTATGTAGATTGCAAGTCTGGGAAGTAATACGTGTGTTATTACAGTACTGTGCCCAAAATAGGAAGGAATTCAGCAGCCCTTTGGGTGCAGTTCCATCAGACACAGCAGTGCTGCAGGATCTGCAGATGGCTTAGAGAAGCCTTCTTTATACGGCCCTGTCATGTGGTACAGTCTGGCTACTGTTACCTTGGGCACCTTAGTCCAAGGAGTAGGTGCAAGAGTAAGGTGGCTAAAGCCAAGACTGCCTAGGTTTCTGTTAATTTAAGTCTGTGTCAGAAAGACTTTTATTTCTGGCAGTGCTTGGGAAAGTCAAATTCTTTTGAACCTGGGCATTTTGTTACTTGAATCTTTTTGCTGTTCATGAAACACAAGTTCCTCTGCCTTTTTCACTTAGAGGCCAATACTATCTGAAGCCTATCCACAACACAAGCAGGTTTATGGGTGCCTCACTTAGGAGTTGTTTAGTGATCAGCCTACTTGTCTGGAGTATGAGAGACTGCAGTTTAAAATATCTGGTCCAGCGGAGCAGAGCAGTTTCACTTTGCATTAAGTATTCATTAGGCCCCTGAGTGGAAAAGGGAGACAGA